TTTTATAAAATTTAAACTTTTTTTTTTATTTATTTTTTCAATATCAAACAATTCACTCCCAACGTTTTTTCTCAAATATTCGTATATCCATTCCTATATAGGCGGATGCAATCTTCAGCTGGCAATTGAATATATATGTAAGTAGATTATATTAAATTATCATGATAGTAAATAAATTATTTAGTAAATCCTTTTTACTCACTATTAGCCCCACTCATCTGTGTCTGTATTGAAATTTTCCCGACTCAAATATTCTCCGGCGGATTTAGTAGATATGTAAGTAAAAATCATCTCAAATTATATAAGAATATATAAGTACATATGCATATATGGTGTATGTATGTATTTGTGTAAGGTTAGGGATTGAGATCCACATATTATCTATGGAGCTGGCGCTCTATAAGAGCATCTATGCGCACTGTTATCCAGCCTTAAATCGAGTGAAAAACATTAACTTTTCTGATGACTTAAGCTCGTCAACTACAATCTCGTTTGAGCCAGAGCCAGAGCTGCGGCTGTCAACTGTCGTCACTCATGGATAGCCGGCTATATATGTATGTGTAGCACGTTCAGCTCAGCGCTAAAACAATGCGATGCAATTAACAATTATATGATAGCTATAGAATTAATTTTGTGGGTAGCAATGTTAAAGTGACGCAGCGGATCTTATCAGCAATCAGCAGCTGTTGTTGTTGTTGTTGTTGTTGTTGCAGTGGCCTCATCAAATGCGCTGCTTAAATGAATTATGCGCTCTTAAATGGATTTCAAGGCGAGAGGCGATATCATAAATGCAGCATCGATTGCCATGTAATTGTCATAATTAACTGCCACACATAGTCAGTGTGAGAGAGAGGAGGGAGGGCTGGTGGAGGGGCAGGGTGAGACGGAGACTTGAACGTGTGCAAAAGATAAAACGGCTTACGCAGCGTATACGCAATATTTGCCTATGCTTGCTTGCCTGCCTCATATTAAGCAACTCACTTGCCGCCGTGGGGCGGAAAGGTGCGGGGTGGATATAAATTTAATTATTTTTCAATCAACCAGCAACAAATCTCCGTGTCTCCCCCACTCATTTGTGTATTTAGTTTGGCGCTCGGCACGTCCAAAAATTTAATGACTGCTTTGTGCCGTGGCGCTGCAGGTGTTGCCCCAGCTAAGCTCCGGGCAGAGTCTGTCGGTCTCCCAGTCGGGCAGCTGCCCATTCGCATGCATTTTTCGCCTACTTTTTCTTGCTGAGCGACTGAGAAACTGCCGCAGCTTCAGTTCGTCAAGCAACGAAACTTTGGCTCACTTTTAACACCCATAACCCAGTTTTTGTGCCATGCTCTTGCTGACATTTTAATTAAATCCCTAAACGAGAGGATTCAGCATCTCTCTCCCTCTCTCCCTCTCCCTCTCTCTCACACTCTTTATCACTGTCTGCCGTTTCATGTATGGCTGCAGTTACCCAGGAAACGCACTGACATTGGCCCCAATTCTCGCATACAACTCAATCGGCAGCTGTGTTGACATCCTCGCCTGCTGCCTCAGCTCCATCTCTACCTGCGCCAACAGCCAAAAATCTCATCTCATATGATCTCCGGCACACACTCGCACACACTCGCACACATACACACACACACAACACAGGCACTCTGCGCCGCATTCAAGTGCATTGCTACTTGAAACTTTCTCTCTCATTCTCTATCTGTCTCTCTTAAGAGTCTCCCAAACAAGTTGTCACTGGTTCGAGTCCCGCTGGGTAGCAAAATAAAATAATTGAAATGCCAAAGGCTAATGTTTAATCAATAAAGTAGTGCAACGAATAACAAATAGAAAGTCAAAATCGAACCTTGAAGAGCATGAAAACAACTTGGAAAAACCGTCTCTGGCTCGAATCCCAATGAGAATGGCAACAGCCTTAGGCTAATGCTCCATCAAAGGCTTCAATATTTAGCTTGACTATATAGTCAAGGATATACCGAAAACAACTGTAAATCGATCCCAATGGGAACTGAATAGGCTTCGACTCAGATTTCAGAAAAATAAGTAATGTCAAAAATACTTGTACTTTTCAATAGGAACTAAATAGGCTTAGTCTCATATTTTAACAAACACGAAAACATCAAACATTTATACACGAATAGTTTTGATCAAATTTAACAAACAAAAATTTATATAAGAAATTCACTTAAATTGTTTTCTCTTGCCCAAGTATTCTTATTTCCATAACGCGGATAGTATCTTCAGGTGAACATTCCATATATATAATATTATAGTTTACTATTATTAAAGACGCACATGATAAATAAACCTTCTTTTACTCACACATAGCTGAACTCATCTATATCTTTGTGGAATTATTGTTGACTTAAGTATATTGAATAATATCCATCCAAATAACAGAAATAATCTTCAGTTAATCATCTAATATACATGTAAGTACGAGTATACCATGATATTACTAATGACGCAGGTCTAATGACGTAAATCCTTTTACTCACATATAGCTGAACTCATCTGTATCTTTGTGGAACTATACCCGACTTAAGTATATTGAATAATATCCATCCAAAGGATAAATTATCTGCAGGTAATCATTGAACATATATATATTATTAATGATTCACTAGCTAATTAATTCTTTTTTTACTCACATATAGCTGAACCCACCTGTATCTTTGTGGAGTTCTTCCCGACTTTCTCTATCCGTGGTAATTGAATATTTGAATATGTAAGTAGAGCATATCAAATTACCATGATTTTATTAATGACACTCATAATGGCAATCAGATAGCTAGCTAAATAATAAATAGCTGCTTAGACAAGGGTTTCGCATTTCCTCTGACCCGCATGCCCTCCCCTGCACTCGCCTGGCCACAAAGATTTCTATCTGGCCGAGTAAAAGCAGAAGAAGAAGAAGAGTACGAAGTCTTTTCCGATATGCTCGCCTGTTTATAGTCGCCCATGCTCATGCTCAGGGCTTGTGGCATTATTCATTGAGGAACTTTTGAAATGTTTATTTATTGGCAGCACCAATCGAGTTTCCCACGTCAAAAAATGTTTTTAGCTCCCTGCGCGTTGGGGCTCCAGCGCCCGCCCCTGCGCGCCAACCCTTGCTAGCATGTGAAAAGAGTTGTCAGTTTCAGTTTGAGTTTCAGTTTTTGAGTTCGAGTCGGGAGAGTCCTAACAAATATTGTTATCGAAACAAGTCCAAAGAAGCAAACGTCTTATTGTTTGCCTTTGTGAAAATGTATTTTCATGCATTTCAAATGAGCGTGAACAGCATGCGGGGTATCTTGGTTGTCTGACCATGCAGAGTCTGCTCTGACTGCTTGAATCCACCTATAGTTGCTTGTCGATAACTCGTTAAATATCTATATCATTAAATATCGATATCGCAACATGATCAACTTTTTTTCCCCTTCTCTCTGTAGAAGTTCGCACGGCTGGTCACAGGGCATCTACTAGTCGTACCCATTTGCCTTGCTCAAGCTAACTTTTCCCTTTCAGCATCATCATCGGTGTAATCATAATCATACTCAGTTACCCACTGTGTCCACTGTCCTGCCTCACCAGCCACTTCTCCTCTCCCACTGCTTCGACTGCTTTGCAGGTTATGTGTGGTCTTCTTCTTGTTGTTTATCCACTGGCAACTGCTTCTTCTGCTTCTACTTCTGCTTCTGCTTCTGCTTCTACTTCTGCTTCTTCCACATCATCTCCCGCGCATTACTGTTGTTGGCCTACATACGTTTGGCATATCGTTAACGTTGTTTTGGTTTTGGCTTCGTCTATACGTCTAGCTATCCACCACGCCCCTGCCACAGCAACAGCCCTACTCCCTCGTCTCCTCCTCGTCTCCCTTTAACCCATTTACCCAAGCATCCGTCCCGCTGCGTAGCGCGTTTGTCTGTGCTTATGAGCACATCAATTCCTTGCCTCCACAAACCTCTGTGCCTGCCCCGCCCTAGCCCCACATATGGTTTCTTGCTGACTTCTTGTCGCCTCTTGGCACAATGAACCAGGGCTGCGTAGTCTTCAATTTGGTTTTCTTAATAGAGGATAGAAGAAAGCAAGAGCAAAAAGGATAGAAGATAGCAGAAGACAGAAGACAGAGACCGAGAGAGAGAGAGCGAGAGAGAGAAACAGAGTATCCTCTGACTTTCTATATTCCTCTGCTCAGCTTTTCCAAGTCAAGCAGCCCATGCACATTCAACTCGATCTCCAGATGAGAACGAGAAAATACAGCTCATCAAATCAAATCAATTGCTACATATATTTTCTGAAGTCACACCAATATTCTTACAGCTAAATGCCAAAAGTAGTGAGCACCATTCTGAGCATATTGAACCAGCCTATCGATGGCTGCCGTGATAGGCCCAGAAAGGGGGTAAAGCGCCAGCATGAACCGGGAGACGCAATTGAGCGCGAGTTCGCACCGCCTCGCCAGATGCGTCGCATCGGGGACGCAACCAACGAGCCAGATAATGCTGAGACCGTGATTGAAGAACAGAAAGAAACCGTTAATACCAATGCTGAGCAGGGCAGTGACGACGTGGACAAGGGTGAAACAAATGCAGATGCCGATGTGGAGATAGAGGCTGAACCAGAATCACAACCACAACCGCAACCAGAACCAGAGCCAGAACCAGAGCCAAAGCCGGAACCGGAGCGAGCACCAGAACCAGATGTGGAACAAGCCGTGGAGACCGCTGCAGAAGAGCAGGCAGCAGCGGGAGCTGGCGCAGAAGTTGCCGAATCCGATGTTCCGGCTACTACGGCTACTGAGACCGTTGCGGATGTAAAGGTGAAACACATCATTAATCTAATGCCTGAGCTCAATCACAGTAGATCTCTTCACATGCAGCCTCAAGATGCCTTATGGTGGAGCAATAGCAAGGGCATTGTGAATCAATCCAATAAAGGTGCTCCGGAGACTGTAGGCGTCGAGCCGGTAGAGGTTGCCAAGAAGCTGAAAAAGAAGGCCAAGGCCGATGCTAAAGCTAAGCCGAAGCGTCTGGCGCACAAGCGTCCAAAGGCTAATAATCGTAAGGAGGGGAAGAAGGGATCTGATGCAGAGGCTTCTGGCGATCAAGCTAATACAACCAATGTCGTCAAAATGAAGGCCGTCAAGAAACCAAGGCAGAAGAAGCCAAAGGCCAAGAAATCCAAGCCAACCTTGCTTGTTGGTCGCAACAAGGCCAAGTTTGTCCCGGCTCCCAGGCGTCGTTACTCGAAGAAGACTAATAAGAAGACCCTCCCTCGGGCAAAGCGTTCCATTCAGCCCATTGGAAAGCCGAAATCCAAGCAAATCAAGCAAATCAAGCAAATCAAGCAAATCAAACAAAAGAAACAAAAGAAAAGGACTTAAGCCCAGAAACCGCGTATACTGCCTTATCGATGTCTATTCAAAATTTTAACTGAGTTTCCTCTAATCACTTCTATTCTAAATTAAATATTTAATTGTTTTTTAGTTCAATAAAGTAAAAATGCTCTCGTCCTAGAAAAAAAAAAAGCTAATCTAATGTCTTTCAACTTTGCAGCTGTGAGAAGATCGTATTGGTGTGATATTAGGACGTTGTGGTAGCTACAGTTACTGGGACAGATATTACGGCGACTTTGTAATACCCGTGAGAATTGGCAATTAAGAGATGTATTGTCTGTAGGAGAGAGACAGCTATACTTATTGCTGAATGTGAGAGCTCCAGCTGTTGCCTAGTGAGAGCGAGAAGACTCTTGTGTCCTCTGCATAGAGTCGACAAACGAGAAGATTTCGAATAGCAAGTCGAAAGAGGGTCTTGAAAATAAGCAGAGTAAAAGGCAGAGTTCTAGTAGAAGGCAATAATATTATATCTAAGAGCTAAGAGAGAAATTGTCAAATTATTGCTCTGAATACACATTTTTAATCTATTCTATATTAGCATAACAAATGTTGTTGACAAGAAACTTGTCAAATAGAAACGGCAAAGATGGCAATGAAAAATAAATGAAAAATAATGTTTCAAAATATAACTGTGAGACACGAATTGGCAGACCAAGCCAACACACACACACACACACACGCGTTTGGGGCTTGCCGCTTTTAATTATTGCTTGTTGTGCAGCCCTCGCAGCAGTCGCAGACATTTTGGCTTCAATCAAAACTCACGCAGCGCAGCTCGCACAGCGGCCGCGCACAGTGCGTATGCGTATTTTAGCGCAATTTATATTGCTTTCAGCATGTGAGCGCATGTGTGTATGTGTGTGTGTGTGTGTGTCTGTCTGTGTTTGTGTGTGCGTACTCGCACTCCTATTGGTTAGCTGCTGTTTGACTTAGTTTGACTACCCAAAAGCGGGCGTTGTCGTCTGCGCTCTTAACTTGGCCATTTCGCTGCGTGTACGTGTGTCTGTCTCTCTCTCTGTGTGTGTGTGGGTATTTGCCCTGTCGGTTGGTTTGTTTGCTCGGTTTGCCATTACACAGGCCAAGACACCTACTGCAACTCAAACTCAACTCAGTTCGCATTCTTGCTGCCTTTATGGCCAATGTCAAGGCGGGGCCGCAAATCAATCGGGGACTGGGCCAGCCGCCGTCAGTTAGACGTGGCGTATGCGTAATATTGAAACAGTTGGAACTTTGTTTGCTGCCGCCGCGCGGACTGATGATGTCCATAATAATGACGTTCGACTCTAATTTGCCACTCACTGCTGCTGCTGCTGCTGCTGCTGCTGTTGTTGTTGTTGTTGTTGTTGTTGTTGTCATCAAATTTACGACTATAAGTTTTTGCGAGCCACCTCAACCGGCTCCAGGGCCGATATAAAAGTTGCCCTCAGCCACATTTAAGTGCAAATATTTGCCAGCTTAAAGTTTTTAATTTGATTTCCTTTTGGCAACCGCAAACTCTGTAGAACCTTCGGTGGCCAGCAGCGGCGGGTGGCGGCTGGCTGGGGGCCGATGCCGATGCCGCTGCCGCTGCCGACGCCTTTGCAATTATTGGCCACAAAAATGTATTTGCTAATTTTGCACAAAATTGATAATAATTGCATAATTTGCATACACTGCACGAAATATTCGAGACCTCAAGCTGCGAAACATTTCTGGCTGAGGTTAGGGTGGGCCCGAGCCAGAACGAGCCGAGCCGGGCCGAACTGGGCCAGGCCGTATTAGCCACATGGAAATTAGGCATGTGGTTTTATGCGTTTCGTGTCGCAGCACACACACACACACACACACAGACACACAGGCACACATACACGCACACACTCACACAGAGTCGCTTTGAAACTAGTGCAAATTCAGCAAAAGTCATCAAGTATCTGGCCATAACAATTGCCCAAAGAGAAGCCTCAAAAGGGTATCTAAAATGAAAGCCCATATATATGTATATACACCAGTGTGGGTGTGTGTGTTGGCAGCCATTGGCTCTACACATTTTTGATTTGCGATGCGGCACACGTTTCATTTTTATTGACCAAAGTTGGGGTCGCGTTTATTGCCGCATAATTGAGTAAATATTATGAATGAAACTGATAATCTGCAGCCATTTACCATTTCGATTTCCACATCTCCAACACACACACACACACACAGTTGATTGACAATGCAAAATGGCTACATGCTGTGCATGCCGAGCATAGTCAAGCCGATATGAACAAAAAAAAAAAAGTAAGACGGATCCAGTCGAGACTGCTCGACTAGGAGATACCCTGAACCCTCCAAGCTGATATTCTAATCATTCTGCACTTCTTCTATGTACACATACATACACATGCACTTATAAGCACGCGCTCTGCTAACTGCGCAGTAAGCAGCGGCTGCGCTTGGGCTGCGCTGCAATGTGNGATAAACTTGTACTGCCTATGGTATACACGAGTATGCATGCCAAATTTCAGCTCTCTAGCTCTTATATCTTCTGAGATCCTTTTGCTCATACGGACGGACGGACGGACAGACGGACAGGGCTATATCGACTCAGCTCGTCGTCCTGATCAAGAATATATATACTTTATGGGGTCTGCGATGATTCCTTCCACCTGTTACATACTTTTCACAAAACCATTATACCCTGATTTCCCATTTTCAATGGGTTCAGGGTATAAAAATGAAACAAAGTGGAGTGAGGCGAAGCATAAACTGTGTGTAGTCAACAAATCAAGTGATGAAAACATTTATTCAACTTCGCATCCATCTTAGATGCACTCTATGTGCAGAGAGTACCTCAGCTATGGCATGTGGTGAAAACTGAGATGACTTGGATATTTTTGATTTGTTCTTAGAAAAGCATTTCTGATGAATCATTGATTGAAAGACATAGACTGGCTTAACATGGACTAATTGAGTGATTGAGGGACAAATTAATTGATTGACTGACTGATTAGTTTAGAGACTGTTTAATCGATAGATTAACAGACAAAAGAATACTGACTGATTGACAGATTGCTATTGAATAATTGATTGACTAACTGATGGATCGATTTATTGATTGATTGGACGACAGAAATAAGCACACAATCAGTTTATCAAGCAGATTGATTCACAGATTGACATAAGTCCCATCGACATAAGTGCCATAGTCCCATTAAGTAATCAGCAGACTGGCTGCTTAGCTGATTATTTTATGGACTGATTGATTGCTTGATTGACATACAGACTAATTACTCATCGATTGATAGATCAATTGAGTTAGGTACTCAGAACGTTGATAGCTGATTGGGGCATTCCATTTTACTATTTGATAACTGCAAAGTATCCATAAAATATATTCAACAATTTATCTGTCTATGTGTTTGCAGACATGAGCGATATCAAACAAAGGAAAATTCTCTAGCGAAGCTTGTTTTGCTGCACGTTCAGGCTAGTGGGTGAGCACTGTACATGTGACTAGCAGCAGCTGTGAATATTTTGGCTATTGTTTAGCCAAAGACGTGTCCATTTCCGCGGCTTGTGGCTGATGGCATCAGATGGCACAAAGTGCTGGGCGTAGGCTGTGCTCTGTGTGTCATGGTGAGTACGATGGTGTGTGTGTGTGTGTGTGTGTGTGTGTGTGTGCTTGTGTTAACAAAACAATGATGATTGAAATGCAGCGTGTGGAATGTGTTGGCAAGCCAAATGCGCCAATTTACAGGCAACACACGCGCCGGTGAACACAGCTAAGCACACAGCCACACGAAGAGATGGAAATTGAGTTGGAGTTGGAGTGGGAGCTAGAGTGGGTGTGAGAGTGGGTGTGAGAGTGGGGGACAGAGACTTGACCGGAAGTGCCGGCTCAATGCCCGATTGAAGGGCGCTAGGGAGACATGTTATTACGTGGGCGGGGCAGATTTCGAGAAATGTGTGAATTATTAACCTGACAGTCGACAGGCAACGATTCCACCCCCACCCCTGCTCTCGCTCTCGAATTAGCCAGGCAATCAAATTATGCAGGCACTTGACACGGCGCCGTGAAGCTCGGCAAAGAGGGTCGACTTTCTGGTGTCAGATACGCCTCGAAGTGCCAACAACTATTTGCACCCACTAGAAGACACGCCGTGGAAAAGCAGCAAATGAGCCGCAGTGCCAAAATTTTTCAAGCCAAGCCAAGCCAAGCCGTGCCAGGCCAAGGCGAGGCGAGGCAAACGCAAGCTGACTGCGGACAGCCGGCAGTTGATGGTCTCCCTTAAACATACTTATCAAAGCAACTTTTGATTCGGCATGCAAATGGCAGAGGCAAAACGCGCCAGCAAAGAGCAAAGCAAGCAGCAATAACTAAAAGACAAGAGTGCGATAAAAAATTGTGCGGGCGGCGAAGCCAGAGGCCTGCAGCTAGAAGCCTCAACAGACACGAGCCGGGCTCTAGAGCTGCTTGTGGTAAGAATAATATTTGCTAGATACTTTGTTTTGCGACTCCCAACAGTTCCTGTGTATTATGCAAAAGAAACACGAATCAATTTCTTGGAAATTCAGTTTAAATTTTTTAAGAAATTACAGGTACAGATACAAATACAGATACAGATACAGATACAGAGACAGATACAGATACAGATACAGATACAGATACAGATACAGATACAGATACAGATACAGATACAGATACAAATACAGATACAGATACAGATACAGATACAGATACAGATACAGATACAGATACAGATACAGATACAGATGCAGGTACAGGTACAGATACAGATACAGATACAGATACAGATACAGATACAGATACAGACACAGATACAGATACAGATACAGATACAGATACAGATACAGATACAGATACAGGTACAGATACAGATACAGATACAGATACAGATACAGATACAGATACAGATATAGATACAGATACAGATACAGATACAGATACAGATACAGATACAGATACAGATACAGATACAGATACAGATACAGATACAGATACAGATACAGATACAGATACAGATACAGATACAGATACAGATACAGATACAGATACAGATATAGATACAAATTTTATGCA